GTGTTTCCAAAATAGGTGAACGTACATTTCTTTTATCTTGAGCCATTTAATTTACAGTTACTTTGCATTCCTGAAGACAGTCTGGCAGATGTATAAGTAGTTGTGCTGTCAGTATTTTTCCCAAGCCTATAAAACATGACTAGAGAGGAAGTTATGAAGAGTTCAAAAGGCTTGTTTGAAGGAGTGGAGGGAAGGAAACTTTCTACTGACTAGAGACTCCGTGGTGCAAATGATCTCTGAGGTGTGACAACAGCAGGGAGGAGGGGTAGCAAGGATGTAGCCTTGAAAGTAACTTCTCTTGTTCAGCAGTGTGAACAGAGGAGTTGTTGGATTAGAGGAGTCAACAATCTTGGGGTTTAATTGGCAGGTGCTTCTCATAAATTGTGGAAGGCCACAGCCAAGAAAATAAAGACCTTTTTCTTGTACTTAATACTACCGCCACCACATTTAGAACCTAAGACTTTATTGACCTGAAGAATGACTACTTGTAGCTGACCAAATAAAGGCACACCATCAATACGGGGGCCATTGTCTTTAGGAGGACATTTGAAATGGGTCCCTGAGTGTATAAACCACTCATTGAATTTTCTCCTCAACCCACAGGTTCTAACTCCCCCAGTATGGACTAAAATGATGGCACACAGTAAACCTAGTAATCTCAGGGAGCCTGACATAGCATAGCCAATCTTGCAAACTCACAAGCTAAAAGTACCCATATAGGATGCTTTAAAGTTAAAACTTTCCAAGTAAAAGCTATTCACAGGGGTATTTATGTCCTAGTTTGTTCTGTTTTGTGTGTGTGTGTGTGTGTGTGGTTGTTTAATTTTTTGCAAGGGTCAAATTTTACCTTATTGAGCCCGTCCATTGTCTTTTTGCATGTGGGATAACATACCTTTGGGTTTTCAGGACATTTCACTTTCACAGACTCCTAAGAGCACAATCTCTGAACACAGAAGATCACAGAGCCCCAATTATTATTGTTACTTTGTTAAATATTAACTGTTACCTATCAGATAAACTTAAAAAGGAGTTTATGTCTTTTTTTTTTACTTTTTATCCAATCGCAGAGATTTTCCTCCTTAGCTCCTACCCCCAGTTTATCACCAGTGAATGTCATGTAACCCATTTATGTCTTCCTCTTTAGTCTCATGTATAAAACAGGTGCAAAACTGCCATTCTCCCAAGCAATTTATTGTTATTCTGCTTCCTGGCATTGTTACCGGCTTGGGTCACATAAATGTAGGAAAATTCTCCACAAGTGTGGATATTTCTTCCAACGTCACCAAA